TAATCTTCATAAATGTGGAGAAAGATTCTCCTAAAAGTCGATCATGAATTAACTGAGGTTAACCACATTTGTTGGAAAGCTGAGTTCAGTTTCACGAGCCACAGGTAATAGAACCTCTCTGACAAAGTAAAGCAGGCTAAAAGATCTCATACAGCTACACATGATTTCATGCTTTAAAGAAAAAGCTGTAAAACAAAGTGACAGCTTTCAGTCTGGAAAGACTTACAAAAACATTTCTAAGGCTCTGGGACTCCAGTGAACCAGGATGAGAGCCATTATCCACACATGAACCTTCCCAGGAGCGACCAGCCTACCAAAGGTACTCCAAGGGTTTATCAACAGCTCATCCAGGAGGTCACAGGAGAACCCAACATCTAAAAATGTACATGTCTCACTGGCCTCATTTACAGTCAGAGGTCGTGATTCAACGATAACAAAGAGCAAAATGGCATCTGTGGGAGAGTTCCAAGGACAAAACCACTGTTGACCAAAAAGAACACAAAGACTCGTCTCGCATTTGCAAAAAATAAAAAAAACATGTTGATGATCCCCAGGACTTTTGAGTAAATATTCTGTAGATTCGTGAGGCAAAAGTTGAGCTTTGTGGAAGGTTTGAGTCCCGTTACATCTGCCATCAAACTACCATTTCAGAAAAGGACATCAAACTGACATGATGTGTGGTCGTGTGATCGTCTGGGACTGCTTTGCTGCTTCAGGGCCGGATGACCTATAATTAATGGAGCCATGAACTCTGGTGTCTAACAGAACATCCTGAAGGCAAATGTCCAGCCATCAGTTTCTGCCCTGAAGCTCAGGAGGAGTTGGGTTGTGCAGCAAGTCCACCTCTGGATGACAACAAAAACCAACTGGAGATGTTTGAGTGGACGAGTCAAATTTCAAATGTAAATGATTGAGATACTTTGGAATGACTTTAAACATAATCCGTGCTGGAAAACCATCAGTGTGGCTGAATTAAGACAATTTTGCAAAGCAGAGAGGATCAAATGTCCTCCACAAGGACGTGAAACTCATTGCTAGTTACTGCAACACTTGAGTTACAGTTACAGCCGAGGGTGGCACAGCCAGTTATTAGGTTGCATTGATGCACGCTCAGTCATCCAGGTAAGTAAATCCCAAAAGTGGATTCTGTTCATCTGGATGTTTTCAGTGGGAGAAACATTTCATCATCATCAGCTGACGTCTTCAGTCTCAGCTGACTGCAGGTTTCAACCTTATAAACAGGACATTTGCATAATGACTGAAACCAGCAGCACTGAAGGAACGATGGGCTGGGAGGTCAGTTTGTTGATCATTAATATCCAAATTGTCATAATGATTGATCAATAACCATGAGTATCATTCACAGAGCGTTGGGGAATGGCTGCAATCACAGCGTTGTAAGATGGTGACAGATGCACCCTTAGGCCCCTCCTCCATTCAGAGATGGTCTTTCCCTTTTCACATAAATGGTTCCTTGACTCCGTGTCCAGGATGTGCACGTCCTCATCATTGAAAGAGTGATCACCAAACTGACCTCACAGCCCATCGTTCATTCAGTGCTGCTGGTTTCAGTCATTATGCAAATGTCCTGTTTATAAGGTTGAAACCTGCAGTCAGCTGATGATGATGATGATGATGAAATGTTTCTCCCACTGAAAACGTCCAGATGAACAGAATCAACCTTTTGGGAACTACTTACTAAGTTTAGGGGCAATTACTGTTTTTACATTTTGAATACTCATTTTTAATATGATTTATGTTTTCTTATTTCTTAACATCACAAAAATGATTAAACAGGCATTTGTACACAGCCATAAAAGGCTGATGGGGTATCTGTCTGTTCCCACTGAACTTTTATACTTTGAACAGCAGTATTAGTAATACCAGTATCACTAAAAGAATTGGCAGTAATTGTATTTGTGTAGTTGCAGCAGTAATATGGTAAAATATGGTACTAATAGGTTGCTGCTTGTAGGCGTCACTTCTGACTGTGTTGTTGTAAAGCAGCTGCATGCAGCTGCAGGAGTTGTTAGATGATCACACAACTGTCCATGCATCGTGCATGGATTTAAGTGTTTATGCCCACAGCTACGTCCTTATCGATCCATTATTGTGAGGTGACACTCAGAGGCATCATGGAGACAAACCACACATAGTTTTCCAAGCTGATGGAGACGGAGCAGATCAGAGCTCTCTATGGAGGCATTCATCTGATCACTGAGTGCTCTGACTGTGGGCTGCCCATTACTGCAGATGGTAGGCCATCAAGGCCATTCAGGCATCGTCAAAGGAAGGCACAGCTGCAGCTCACACACACATATGCACATATCACCACACACACACACACACACACAGTCTTGTTCCATTTTTGACTCGAGCCAGTAGCTTCCATCAGAAAGCTCATCCTCCTTGCTTTAACACGCAGCTCGCCTGTGAAGCACAGTCAGAGGCAGAAGGACGGACCTGGACTTTGAATATACAAATCACGGTGTTTGTTTAAATGCAGGAATTAACATTTGCATAAGCAGTACTAAAACTACCACGTCTCATATGGGCCTCACAGGTTTCGCCTGACTCTATTTTGATAGATAAGCTACACTTTATAATAGCAAACAAAGGTGACTCCATAGTGCAGCAGTTTACACGTTCTTCTAACGAGCAAAAGATCCCAGGATCACAAACAAATCCCTCACATGTGAAGCTACGCTGTGTCAATGAAGGAGCAACTTGGCTCCAGTTCCTGTTTATGAAGTAACATGGACAGTACCACAGTCTGCACGATCATCTGCACATACTTGTTGTGCTGTAGCACAGTTAACATTTTTGATTTGCAATGCTGCATTACTCATCCACAGAGTCACATACTGCTCTTTAGCTCCTTCCTTAACAAGCAACTCTTCCTGTTTCACGCTGAGTGCTTGGCGAGCCCATGCACATCCTGAAACGATTATGTCATATTTTGCAGGAGCAGGTTCACACACACGCACACACACTGCTGCTCGACATGCAAATAGCATGACAACAGGCCCTAACCCTGAGCCGTGCCTGAGCAACATGAGCTTCCAGAACAGGATGATTCATGTTGTTCGATCAGTGACCACAGAGCAGCCTGAACCCTTTCCTGCACATCCATCGTGTTTCTGTCCCTCTAACTGTTTCATTCTTGTCTTACCTTTCCGGATGCTCTCTTCGATTTCGTGGTCGAAGGCCAGCCGATGGCATTTCCTCCACAGCCCCATGTTGGTGGAGTTATACTGCCTACTACATTCATCTGCGGCGCTCATGGCGAACAGCTGCCGTCTGTTCCGGGCCAGAAGCAGCTTCTCTTGCCAGCGGGACACGCTGCTCCGGCTGGCCCGCAGCGGTAGGCTGTTGTTGGGGATGTAGATGAAGCCCGGGTCCTTGCGGCGGCTGGAAAAGCTTCGGCACCGCTCCCTGTACCGTCTGGCGTCTGTCTCGTACCAGTGGTCGGAGCACATCGCCACGGCCAGCATGCCCAGGGCGCAAAGAGAAAGAGAGAGGCCGGCGTAGAGCAGCAACTTCCCGGCAGCCATGCTCGGTTCTGTCACAGCCGCATCAGCACCTCGACAGACGGACAGCTCCTCTGCGGCTTCCCCACCGCTTCAACTCACATCACCTCTGGAGCGCAGCGTCGGGACCATCCTCCGGGTGACCTTTATGTACAAACGGAAGGCGAACCTTTCCGGCGGCACAGTCTGCAGACAAATACCTTTAATCCCCGGACGCGGAGGTTTTCGGTGATAAAGTGCCCACGTCCGTCCTGCGTGCGCGGCGCTGCAGCACCTCGGCGGAGAGAAAAAGACGCTTATCTCATTTCAGCTCCCAGCCACGGATCCGTCTGTCTGAGTAGGGCGACACCATCAAGCACAAAACACATCAGCACGCCGCTAAGGGTTTAGTTACACATGTAGTAGGCCATACGTGACACGAACCACTGCATAACCCACCCACTGACAGAAACGATGAACGAAGAAGAGTGCAAACATGCAACGAGTGATTTATGCAGCCGTATTTACCGAATGTAAAGGTGCGATTGAACGAGCACGAACATGCACCACCTATAACGTGCAGCTCATAGTTCAGAGAACCAACCTGATGTGTCCACAGAGCCCACGCAGACCGCAGCCCACCAGCACAGCGCAGGGGTATCAGCGCCACAGTCAGCATCCCCAGCACGTCTGAGGGGATGACGGCAGCTGCTACACAGCAGGCCTGTGCGCTGACCAATCAGCACCAGTCTGTCTGGAGCAGCGCCGTCAGCTCACGGGCTACATGACTACAGCTGCCCGCGTGAAATCTCCACTCAGGTTTGATTTTTGATTCGGATTCAACTTTATTGTCATTGCACTTTGAATCTAATCACACGTGCAAGAGCAGTAAGAGCAATAGGAGCAGATTATTTACCAATAAAGGTGGGAATAAAGGTGGGAATAGTTATGAACAGATTATGGACAAATAAGTGAAGTATACAGATGTTTATACAGATGTTTATATTGCTATACAGACGGGCAGATTTACAGATATTGTATGAACAAATATACAGATGTGCTACATGTATACAGATGTATCGATCTGTGGTAACCAGATCTACAGAGCTGCACTGACATTCACTTAAACGGAAAAATCCAAGAGGCAGCGATGGAGGCGGAGTGGATTCCCTCACAGTGTTAGAGCATCCTGCTTGAAACACTGAAAGCTGAGCCGTTCCCTTCAAACTAATGGGGGGGCAGGAAAACAGGGATTTCTGCTGTGAAGTTTCCAAATGTGATCATGTGAAATAGGTTTTCAGTTGTTTCTAGTGTTTTGCCTCAATAAGTGCTTCCTGCAGGAATACAACATATGTTTGACACAGTCACGTGACCGTGCATAGCTTCAGCTCCTGGCTGCTGTCAGTCATGGTGTATAAAGACCAGCAGTGACACCAAGGCTGGTATTACTGTTCTTCTGAGTGTTTATTGGTGGAGACATTTACCTCAAAGGTGGTTTTGATAACCGTGGTCCATGTTTACGTCTGTGTAGCTCGAACATTTTGGGTCACATTAAAATGAAGGGAAGCTGAAACCATGTTTTCCTGAATTCAAGTAGTGTTGCTTCTTAAACTCAAACGTTTCTCAAGTCAAAGAAATGTTTTTTTTTTTCATCACCCATAAAGAATATGCTATATTCTGCAGAAACTGGCTATTTTAGGACCCAGAAGAGCTGCTTTTCAGTTAATGTAGGCAATATTGACATTAGTATGTTGTATGCTGTTTATTTAGCCTGACACGTTTGTTTTGTAGGTGCTTGAGCACTGCAGCACAAAAAGACATTGAGTCACATATTTAGAAGGAAGCTAAAGTAATTTATGATTGGTCATAATTATGCTGATCAAAGCTGTTTAAATATTTAAAGAGCTTTGATTGAGGTACATTTTAAACATTTGGACTGAAAACATCCAGAACAATCTTCGGCTTCTACTTTCTGTTTCTTCATATCTGGCGCCATCTTCTGTTATTAAAGAGAAATAGACTCCGGGTGCCACTTAGAGCTGGAATCAATTCAGTGTCGATTCAAAAGATCCCTTCAACTTCTCAAAGTAGCTTCAGCTTAAATGAAAATTGGGAAAAACTGAACAGAATGAAAAATAATAAATGGTAAAGTATTGATGGAGAGTGAAAGCACAGTCAAAACACAGAGCAGTGTTGGCAGGAAGCTGGCAGGAAACGCTGTGTGTGGCAGGCACATTTGCAGACCCAAATTTCAGACAGCAGACGGGACTGTGCTCGGAAACTGGAACTGGCAAATAGCAAAAGACAGGTTCAAACAGAACTGACACTTAGACAGGACACACAGTAAATACAAGAGGAAATCAGGACAAAGAGGAAACACCTGGGGAACACGGCTGGCA